TAAAGACGAATGTACATTATAAAAGAGTTATGATTATGAGAAATAAATATGTCTGAATCCACTATGAAACATTATTATTTAACAAATTGAATTGATAATAATTTAGATCTCTAACATTTTGACAGTAAATTTTTAAATGGGATAAAAAAAAGTCATTTAGTTTTTGAAATTACAATTTTGGGGTACTTAGTGTAATTGATGATGAAATTATGAAAAACTAAGAAGTAATTAAGAGATTTGTTTTTTAAAACTTACGAACACGTAATTAGTAAAGCGATACAAATTTATAAACACGCCTATTTACACATCCATATATACACAGAAAACGACGGGATGTTACCCGGAAGTATGGTCGAGTTAAAAAAAGTATCAAATAAAAATAAAACGAGTTTATAGAAGCTCCAATTTTATCACTTGTTACATATTATATTATACACAGAAGTTTCTTTTTTTATATGATACAAAACAAATGTTTATGTTCATTGTTCTTATAATTGTCTATAGTATCTTTCGGCGATTCGTATTGACTGGTGTAAATCAAAGTATTGTAGTTTATCATGCTGTATGGCATAAATAATTACAACGACCGTTGTCGATAATGCTTAGGCATTTTGTTGCGACCCAAAACTATTTTCCAACTCAAGTAGTTTTAAACACTAGGTTACATTACATAAAATACAATGGAAAAAAGAATGTGATAAATAACGCTTTTTTATATCTGTTATAATTCTCTGAAATACTTTTTTTCAACAATATTTATTATAATATCTTTTAACAAATTAGAATAAAACGAATATGAATGAATTTTATTAAGGTTATAATTTGTATGTTATTTCTATAAAGCAAAAAAACACGTGTAATTACTAAATAATATACCCTATACAATTGTACACTAATAATTATTGGTGTACAAAAGTATGGGTTAAATCTTAACGATAATACTATTCCTGCAGGACCGAATTAACAGTTTGTCTACGTTCTCTAGGATCGAAGGTAATCTGGTCCATGATTACGTCGTAATGAAAACCAAGTTGGATCAAGTGTTGGTAGACGCATTTCATGTAAGAATCTAATTTTTCCACATACAAAGTGTAAATGCCATTTGAATATTTTTCACTACTATACTCACTCTTTATTGCTGTTATATCGAAAAGTTGGTATTTTGGTCGACACGCAGAGAGCAAATAGTGTTCTAAAGACTTAACAACTCCGTTTAACAATTGGTTAAGACATAAGCCTCCCGGTATTATGCCAGAAAATACTATGGGGACTAGTCCCGAGAAATACACTTTAAGCGGCTTCAGAGCTTCGTAAAATTCATTGTCATCAAGAAAGCTGCCGTATATGTTCTCCATGTACTCCAACGTGCGCATCAATTTCATTACGACAAACATATATCTTCCGAATCTCTCTCCAATTTTGGTCATACAATCGCTGGCGTTGGCATCTTCGTTTTGTTGCATTTGGTTACATTGATCAATTGCTTCAAGCGTTAATAATAGAAACCAATTCAATTCTTTACCGTAAGTGCATCCCATCGACAGATAGATTAGTTGTAACCTAGCCAAATTCCCGACACCTTGATTTTTTTCCCATATTAGCCTTTTAGGCCTCCATACACTTTGATGCTCCAACCAATCGAACCACATCCCTTGCCACATATGTTCTTGTTTAATATGATTAATCATAACGTTTTGGATATATTTTCTTGGGTCTGCGCATATCACCGTTCCACTATGTAAGCTCGTGCAAACTAACGAAATAAAAAACTTTAATATTGCCTTTTTGTCCATCTTAAATATTTTAAACTTGAAAAATTGCACTTAATCGAACAGTGCGTCGACATACGTGGTCTATAGAAAAAAACTGAATGTCTACATATTATCAATATTTACCACGTAGTCCACCGTAACCGTGTTCTGGATAAACGAACTGGCGCACACATTGTTTGCGTAAAGTGTATGAACAGTCTTTATAATATGTTGTGTTAAACAATGCAATGTTCGACCGTGTAACTCTTGCCTTATGTTAGCTGATGCTATGTGTATAAAAATGGATGGAAACCTACTTAGGCTAAACCATAGATAAAAAAAATATGTAGAGTTCTAACATTATATTATAATGATGTACCCAGCAGTGAAGCAATCAAGAATAGGCGAGAGTCAGTGTAACTAGTTTATGTCCAGTGACGTTACAATTTTTTTCTGCGTTGCTGTTTGTTCATTAACTAATTCGAATAATTCTGATAATTCTTCTTCCTTTGATGTTATCAGGTTAGCTTATAAAATCACACATACAGTAAAAACTTTTAAGATTTGTTTTTTTTAAATTTAAGTACACATAATAAGTAAAGCGAAAAAACGTTTGCAAACACGCCTGTTTACACAGCAATATAAACGAGATACGCAATAAAAATGATTATAGACGCTACGCTGTTATTACTTGGAATATGTTATGATGTTCTACATAGAATTTAATTTTTGTTTTTTGTGTACTTTTTTATAGTATGTTTCAGCTACTCAAATTAGCTGGTGCAAATCGAAATAATTGTCGTTAATTAGGATGTTTGGCTTTAAGACCTTTAAGGTCTATCAGAGAATTAACTAATCACAAGTAATACAATGAATATTATCATTTATACTGCTTTTGTAAATTGTTGCGACACAAAAATACTTCCCTAATCAAGTCGCCATTGAAAATAAGCTTGTGTTATATAAAATGCAATGAAAAAATTACACTGTAAATAAGGTATTTTTTAAAATTTTTATTATATTTATTATATTATTTAAATAATTTAATCCAAACAAAATAATATTTACCTTATAAAGTAATACAATGACATGAGTTAATTTTATTAAAGTCATTATTTTTATAAAGAAAAAAAAAACACTTGTAATTACTAAATATTACAACCTATACTATGGTGTGCCAATTATCTATAATAATGTTTCTGCAGAACTGCAATAACAGAATATTAGTCACTTTGGTTAGGATCGAAGGTAATCTGGTCCATGATTACGTCGTAATGAAAACCAAGTTGGGTCAAGTGACCGTAGACATATTTCATGTAAGAATCTAATTTTTCCACATACAAAGAGTAAATGCCATTTGGGTAATTTTCACTATTATACTCACCCTTTGTTGCTGTTATATCGAATAGTGGGTATTCTGGATAACACGAATAGAGCAAAAATTCATTCAAGTATATAGCCACTTTATTTAACAACTGGTTGAAAAATAAGCCTCCTGGTGTTATTTCGGAAAATTCTATAGGGATTTGTCCCGAAAGATATTCTTTAAGTGGCTTTAGAGTTTGGCAAAACCCGTTGACATCAAGACAGCTGTCGTTTATATACTCCATGTACTCCAACGTGCGCATCAATTTCATTGCGACAAACATATATCTTCCGAATCTCTCTCCAATTTTGGTTCTACAATCACTAGCGTTGGCATTTTCGTTTTGTTGCATTTGGTTACATTCATCGATTGCTACGAGCGTTAGTAAGAGAAACCAATTTAATTTTACACCATAAGCGCATCCCATCGACAGATAGACCATTTGAAACCTAGTCTTTCTGCAGACAGAATGATTACTCGGATTCCATAGATCGAACTTATGCTTCCAACTGCCTTCGGGTGCCAACGAATCGAACCACGTCCCTTGCCACAATTGTGCTTGTTGAATATGATTAATCATAATGTTTCGGATCCGTTTTTTAGGGTTTGCGCATACCATCGTTCCACTATGTAAGCACGTACTAACTAATAAGATAAAAAACTTTAATATTGCCTTTTTGTCCATCTTAAATATTTTAGACTTAGGAAAATTGCACCTAATCTAACAGTGCTTCGACATACGTGGTCTATAGAAAAAAACTGAATGTCTACATATTATCAATATTTACCACGTATTCCACCGTAACCGTGTTCTGGATAAACGAACTGGCGCACACATTGTTTACGTAGAGTATGTGAACAGTCTTTATATTATGTTTTTTACCAAATTACAATGTTCGACCGTGAAACGCTTGCCTTATGTTATCTTATGCTCATTGTAGAAAAATGGTCGGAAACTTACTCAGGCCAAACCATAGATAAAATATATGTAAAGCTCTAACATTATATTATAATGATGTACCCAGCAGTAAAGCAGTCAAGAATAGACAGGTGACAGTGTAACTAGTTTTTAAATAAAAATAAATACTTTTTTTAATAGGTTATTAAACACTGCACAATGTGCACATTTCACAACCATAATTTATTTCAACGTAATTTCTATTGCGATGTTACACCTTGCCGTTTTGATATTCAACTATAACTTATTATTGTATAAAATCCGAATTTTATAGTTTTACAATGATATGTATTATTAATTTCTCTTTTTGTGTCTATACCCATGACATCTTCTGAGTCCCTGAACGGGTTTTCTTTGTGTAGCAACTCCATAGATCAGCAATCATACCTGTGAAGTACTTTATTGGACCAACAATTTAAAGTAGTTTAACTTAATAGAGCAGTCTGAATTGTGTGGTGTATATGAAACACCAGATGTCTACTTATTTTTTTGGTTGTGCCACGCAGTGTACAGCAATTAACAAGACACCGTATTCTGCTGCGAAAACTAACTGATGTGCTCATTGTTTGCTTAGAACACAAGGATAGTTTCTTTAGGTATATTATAATTTGTTCCAACGTCAAATTTGATATTTCAAAATATGATTATACAGGAGTAATAAGTACGATATTCACATATAAAATTTAATATGATTTTAGCAAACAGTGTGTTCAAAGTTAAAGGTGACAGCTGATTTTTTGATGATATTATACTAATATGTTGAACAAATAATTTTATGTGAAACAATTTTAATTTGTATCATACTATAATAATTCAAAGTTTAATGTGATTTTTTTAAAACATTTTTTTAACTGTATAATTACAGCAAACAGTGACTTTATTTTTATTAAATATTAGTTAAATACTAGTTAAAAAAATATACATTTATGACATAAAAACGAAATTCAATTTTTGTTACACTTCAGTATAAATTGTCTATGAAAGGTTTTATACCAAACTCGGTTTCTAAACCATCAATTCATAGAGACCTAAAAAACAACCAAAATTTGATACAATTTAAAGACTTCACCACACCTTATGGCATCAATAAACAAACTGTATTAACAGTTTGTCAAGCTATTTGGCAAGTAATTCAACGACCGTTGTCAATACTACTTGGGCGAATTTTCGTGACACAAAAAAACTTCCTTCTCGTGTAGTCTTAAACACTAGATTTATATAAAATTATAAAATGCAATGAAAAAAAAAAAGACACGGCAAAGAACGCATTTTTGATATGTATTATAATACCTTTTAACAAATTAAAATGACACAAATATAAATGAATTTGATTGAAGTTATATTATTATTTCTATGTAAAAAGAGAAACACTTTTAATTACTAAATATATACTATTGAACACAAATTAACGATAATAATATCTCCACAGGACTGAATATTAAAAGTGTGTTAGCGTCTTACGCTTGGATCAAAGGTTACCTGGTTCTTGTTTACTTCATAATGAAAACCGAGTTGGATCAAGTGATTGTCGATGTAGTCGATGTAACTATTCAACTTGATGATAATGAAAGAGTAGATGCCTTTTGGGTAAATATCACTATTATATCCATTCTTTATTTCCGTTATATTGAATAATTTGTAGTACGGATAACATGTAAAGTGCAAAAACTCTGTCAAGGAAACGGCAACTTTATTTAACAATTGGTTAATAACTAAACCTCCTGGGATTATGCCAGAATATTCTACGGGAAGATGTCCCGTGAGAAAATCTTGGAGTGGCAATAGAATCTGGTAAAGCTTATTATTATTCAATGTATTAATAAGGCCTACAGTATCGATGTATTTTAATGTGTGCAACAACTTCAATATAATAGCCTTTCCTTTTTCTATACTTGCTATAAGTTTGGCCCTACAATCGCCAGCATGTTCTTTGTTGTTTCGTTGCATTTTATCGCATTCATCAATTGCTTCAAGCGTCAATAAGAGAAACCAATTTAAATTTGGCCCATAAGCGCATCCCATCATCATACAGACCATTTGTAGTCTATCCTCCACTAAGACACTATAGTTTTTCTTCCAAAGTCTCCTTAAAGGCCTCCAATCATTTTCATAGAAGTAATCTTCGAACCACATGTCTTTCCAATGTAGTTCTTTTTTAATATGACCAATCAGGTTGGATCGAGCTTTTAATGGGTTTGCGCATACCTCTGTTTCATTGTGAAAATACGTCAAAACAATGGCAGTTAAATACTTAATGAATGCATTTTTTTCCATTCTAAATCTTTTAGGCGAACGATTTCACTTGATTGAATAGTACGACAAACGTAATCTATATGAAAATAAAACATGTTAAAGTGGGTACAGACTTAAAAAAAACGCTTATCATTGTACAACTAAAAGTCTCTCAGTAAAAAGCTAAAACGGATCGTCTACTAACTCTACATATGTTTTGATTTGTAACATACAGTACACAGTCGTAATTCGCATAAACAAATCATCGCAAATGAATGTCATTGTTTGCTCAGTGTCTGTGTTGATTCATTATACAGTGTGATTAATTTGTTCAACAAAATATTCTTAATTTAAAAGGTTAATTAAATATATACGTTACCTTATAGTTTTAAAAATTGATACAGCTCTGGAATAAAAATTAAAAAATATAATTGTTGTCCTATAGTGTAAAACAATACAAACTTAAATATCTCCGACTAGAAAAACTACAAAATTGTAATTATTTATTAAAGAAAACTATAGTGTCTTATGTTTTTTTTAATAACACTGTTTTTATCAGAGCTCGTTAAATCCCATATTAATATAAATAATGTTTCAACGAATGTACAATGCTAAAATACCTGACACAACATAATACAAGTTGGGTATTTATTTTAATATAAAGTATTACCTATTATAATACACCAAGCACAATTATAATACCGTAAAAAGTGTTTCAACAAAACTAATTTTTGTATTTGGCACATGAATTTTGAACCAAGATTTAAAATTTAAAAAAAAATGACTCAGGTTTTTAGGATATTTTTATTTTACTTTAATATGTTGGTTGAAATTCGGTGGAAAATATTTAAGATATCGACTGCCCCAACGAAAAGGGTCGTATCTCGTTTTTTGCAACTTTTCAGGATGAACCAAACAAACATTCAAATTTAAATTCTTATTCTGTTTTTTAACATATCTGTTTGAAAACTGAATAAGAATTTAAATTTGAATGTTTGTTTGGTTCATCCTGAAAAGTTGCAAAAAACGAGATACGACCCTTTTCGTTGGGGCAGTCGATATAGGTTTTTTGTTTGAAATTCTGTAGTTAATAAGAATATAATTTGTTTAATTCTCTCAAATTTAAAAAAAAAATCGGTATAACGTATTTATATAAACTTTGACCTAAGACGCATAGCTTATAAAATATTCATAGTGTTGTAAGAATATTTTAAAAATTGTATATCAGCTGTATCATCCGTTAACTGTGTCACTTCTAAGCAATTTAAAAAATATATATTTTAATTCAATAAATAAAAAAAACAATGTTTTTTCGATTCTGTCGGCTGGTGAAAAGAGAAAACACAACACTATAGTGCACTATACTAACTGAGTGGTCCGGCCAGGCCACATAGATATGTTTTCTAAGAGAAAGCATATAGGACCCACCACTTAAATTGTTTTACTACTTACTTCTTCTACAGCTGCACGTCTATAATTTAATTCGGCTCCTGTACTCACATCGGCTCGAAACTCACTGGTGCTAGCCACGATATCATCGCCGTTATATATCTGCGAGGTATGAACAGACCACACCCCCTTATCGCGATTAGTCCATCTGCATACGCGGTGGACGAATGACGTTTCTCTCTTTGTATATTGCGGTATACCACCACTCCCCCCCGCTGTAAGGTGCAGTATAAGAATTTCTACGGACTTGTCTAGTAGCCCCGTTTTTATTTGTCCCATAAGAATAATTATTGTCGTCTTCCTGACCCGTTTAGTTAGCCATCTCGGCTGCGCGCTGTACTTTCCTATGGATCACATAAATAATGGCTATTTTTGTATTATAATCCATAGGAATTATCAGCGCTCTGTTTTTTCCACCTTTATCGCAATAAATACACGTCATGCCAAAAACAATACGAATAAAAATAATACAAATAAAATACCATAAACATTTTTGTATTCCAAACACGTGTCCATTAATAGCGCATTATATATACACATAAAAGACGAATGGCACGTGCGAAGGTCAGACGGTCTTGCTGGTGCCCGCGTGTGTTACTTGTGTGACGTACATAATCAAATAATTTTAGTAAAAAAAAAAATTAAAAAGAAAGACGTAAAAGACCGAAAGACGACGGCGTGAAACCGCTCAACAGTGTAGATTTGTCATATATTGCATGGACGTTGGGCATAACACGTTTAAGGGTAAGGGTTCACGAAAGGCGCTATGCCTTTAAAAGTGTAAAAGTTATTGAACGTGGAATAATTAATCTACAAAACTCCCATCGAACAGGTAGTCACTAAACGTCGTATTATACAATTTGTCGACTATATCGGATAATATGATACTTAATTATACAATACCGCTTGTGTACAACATTTTGGCGGCCCTAAAACGTGAGGTCATTACTCATTTGTGTTTAGCGTTATTGTACAATTTATCCAAAGGGCTTTGATTTCGATAAAACGTTTTTTCATTAGTATACACGAGGGATTTAATAATTATTATATCTTCTATATATATATGTATAAATGAATTTCTGTCTGTGTCTTTGTCTGTCCTTAATGCATTAGTACACCATTCATCCGATCGCCATGAAACTTTGGGTAGTTGTTAAGTACACTCCCGCGAACCTAACTGACATAGTACTTTTTGAAAATTCCACCCCTAACGGTGGCCTCAAACACGAACTTTGTACTTTAAATACGAAATGTAAATAAATTAAATGTTTGTAACCATAGTAATCCAAAATAAACACTTGGTTTGTAAACATGTTACCACGGTACTTGAGAAAATTGTATTTGATGGTTAAAGGAACCGGCCAATTCTATGTACCACGATTCTGGGCATGCCTTTAACTGTTGGAACGGGATCTGGGACCAGGCCTGGGACCCTTGAGTAAGAGGAGGACATAATAACCGAAAAAAGTGTCACAAAAACGATTAGAGATGAGAGATGGAAATGGGGGTTGGAAAGGGGAAATGGGAATTATTTTACTCAGCCCTGGCAGACTAAATCTGGGGCAACGCCGGGTCCGAACAGCTTGTTATATATAAAATAAATGATTCCTATGTGTATTAGAATGAGTATTAGTAAATAAGTGAATAATTGGAAATAAATGGATAATTAAAAAATAAACCAGTTATTATCTCTTCTACATGGAAAAACATTGGATCATGGATATGTTGTCTCTTGTTACTTATCTTTAACCATTAATCATGTACCATCATCATCAGCTTAACTGGCCTTTAAAGCCCAACGCTGCCGCATCATGAGTTGATGGTTTCTAGAAGAATTTATCGTTGATCACTTATCTTTAATAACGTGGAAGTGAAAGTGTAACGCGACAATGGTGACATGAAAATTCTTTTATCCAGCCCAAAAAAAAATATCCATGTTAAAATGCATAACAACGCGTTTAACAATGTGCGAAGTCATATTGCTAAAAAAATTTAACGAACCAAAAAAAAAAATAGATTGAACGTTTTTGTTAATTCGGACGAATCGAAAAAATTGGCTATTATCAACGATTGGCTAAGGAATGCACTATTGTTCACGAGAATTCCTATAGAGAAAATTAAAAAATGCTTACCCCAAGAACCGTCGTACAACAACATTCCAAATTTAATTCAATTATTTCTAAACGCTAGATTACACAACATAAACTACAATGAAAAACAGACACGCACGTTATATAACGCAAATTTTATTTTTATTATATTTATTGAATCGTTGAAATCATTTAATCCAAATAAAATGTATTTTATTTCATAGTACCTTATAACACATTAAAATGACATAATATTATATTATTGAATTTTATTAAAATTATCAGCTGATTATAATTTCTATGAAGAAAAAAAAAACACTTAATTACTTAATAGTACAACCTATAATATTGTGTACCAATTAAGGACCATACAATTTCTGCAGGAACGAATTAACAGTTTGTTAGTCACTTTCGCTAGGATCAAAGGTAAACCGGTCTGTGTTCACGTCATAAAGAAACCCGAGTTGGATCAAGTGTTTGTCAATGTGGTCGATGTAACTATTTAACTTGTTGATATAGAAAGAGTAAATGGTGTTTGGGTCGCCATTATATCTACTCTTTGTTTCCGTTATACTGAATAATCGGTATTCTGGCAAACATGTTAAGTGCAAAAACTCTGTCAAGGAAACAGCAACTTTATTTAACAATTCATTAATAATTAAACCTCCTGGTATTATGCTAGAATATTCTATGGGAAGATATCCAGTGCCAAAATCTTTGAGTGACAACATAATTTTGTAAAATTGATAATTATCCGAATTATTATCACTTACAGGATCGATGTATTTCAATGTGTGCAACAACTTTAGTATAACAGTTTTTCCTTTTTCGATACTTTCTTCAAGCTGTACCCTACAATTGCTAGCGAGATCTTTGTTGCTTCGTTGCATTTTGTAACATTCATCAATAGATTCAACCGTCAATAGCAGAAACCGATTTAAATTTGGGCCATAGGCGCATCCCATCATCGTTAAGACCATTTGTAGTCTATCTTCCGTTAAGATACTAGTGTTTTTCTTCCATAGCCTCTTTAAAGGCCTATATTTATTTTCATAGAGGTACCTTTCGAACCCCATTCCTTGCCAGTGTTCTTCTTTTTTAAGATGACAAAGCAGTTTAGATCGAGCTTTTGATGGGTATGCGCATACCTTTGTTTCAATGTACAAGCATGTCGAAACAACCGCAATTAAAAACTTGACGAGTGCATTTTTTTCCATTCTAAATCTTTTAGATGAACGATTTTACTTGATTGAATAGTACGATAAATGTAATCTATATGGGAATAAAACAAGTTACAGTCAGTATAGCCTAAAAAAAATCGCACTTCATTGTAAAACTAAAAGCCTTTCAGTCGTGTCGAAGCTAAAACTGATTGTATACACAGTCATAATTCGCATAAACCAACTGTCGCTAATGGCAGCTATTGTTTGCTCAGTGCCTGTATTAATTAATTATAAAGCGTGATAAAAATATCCGACGATAATGACGCAATCCATGTGTGAAAGGTGTTGGAAGTGAAAAATAATAGAATTGAATAAAAGAACATACATATTCTCAGTATATTACTGGACAGATTGCGGTTGAATGTATTTAAAAACAACAATTTATTTGGTGAATAAGGTGTAGCTCAGTTAAGTTACATGACTCGAGGTAGTCGAGTTGATATAATACAGTGTACACTGTGTACATTTCATACGAGTTTAGGTGATAACACATAGACGCACAACTTAGTATACTCAGAAGACGTAGAAGAAAGTATGCACTCTATGAACGAAGTCGGACTTCTGAAAAATAGTCTATGCACTCGGTATATTATGTTATACGAATCGAGATGGTCGAGTTGATGTACATTTTCTGTTATGTAGTAGATTACGAGTTTGAGTGTTAAGACGCACACACGTCACTAAGTACAATATTTTACACAGCTCTGAACTCATCATTTTTTAGTTTACCCAACCACAACTCATACAACGACTGTTGTCAATTCTGCTTAGGCTAAATTAAAATTCGGTAAACTGTTGCGACACAAAAAGACATCACGACTATAGTAATAATTTTAAAGGATAGATTATAATATGTAAAATGCAATGTAAAATAGGACATATGATTTTCGTTATATTTATTAAATCATGGAAATCGTTCAATCCAAACAATATTAATTATTATGTATAACACATTATAACACATTAAAATGACACATATGAATGAATTTTATTAAAATTATTATCTAATTATAAGATTTATGAAGAGAAAACAGCACTTTTAACTACTAAATAGTACAACATAATATTGTACACCAAATAACGATAACATCTCTGCAGGACTTAATGTACAGTTTTTTAACCTCTTTCGCTAGGATAATCTGGTAATCTGGTCCGTGTTCGCGTCATAATAAAACCCGAGTTGGATCAAGTGATTGTCGATGTAGTCGATGTAACTATTCAACTTGATGATATAGAAAGAGTAGATACCTTTTGGGTAAATTTCACTATTATATCCATTCTTTATTTCCGTCATATTGAATAATTTGTAGTCTGGATAACATGCAAAGTGCAAAAACTCTGTCAAGGAAACGGCAACTTTATTTAACAGATCGTTAGTAATTAAACCTCCTGGAACTATGCCAGAATATTCTATAGGAAGATATCCCATGAGAAAATCTTCGAGTGACGACAGAATTTGGTAAAATTCATTATTATCCATGTTGATGTGGCAATCAGATTTGATGTACCTAAAAGCGTACAACAACTTTTTTATAACAACTTTATTTTTTTCAATACTTTCTATAAGTTCGACCTTACAATCGCCAGCGTGATCTTGGTTGTTTCGTTGCATTTCATCGCATTCATCAACTGCTTCAAGCGTCAATAAGAGAAACCAATTTAAATTTGGGCCATAAGCGCATCCCATCATATTAGTGGCCATTTTTATTCTATCCTCCACTTTGGCATTATTGTTTGGCTTCCATAGTCTCCTTAAAGGTTTCCAATCCTTTTCATAGATGAACTCTTCGAACCACATATCTTCCCAATGACGTTCATTTTTAATATGACGAATCAGGTTTGATCGAACTTTTGATGGGTATGCGCATACCTTTGTATCGTTGTATAAGCATGTCAAAACAATCGCAGCTAAAAACTTGATGAGTGCATTTTGTTCCATTTTAAATAATTAAGACGAACGATTTCACTTGATCGAATAGTCACATAAACGTAATCTACATGAAAATAAAAAAAAATTACACTAGACGCAGATTAAAAATAAAATTGTCTACATATAATAAATTTGTGGCCCGCAATACACAGTCATAAATGCACAAACAAACTGTCACAAATGACAGTTATTATACAGTGTGATAAAAAGTTGCAGCAAAATATTCTAAATGGTTAATTAACTATATACGTTACCTTTTATATTTTAAAAAAATTATACATCCCTGGAATAAAAATAAATTTTTTTTTTTAAAATAACAATAAAATTGCAATTAAAAAAAAAAAAAAATTAGTGTTTTGATGTAACGAGTTACCCTTTATTAGTAATATTTAAAAATTTCTCTAGACCTCTCAAAGTCTCATGTTAATATCGAAAATGCCTGAAGTAATGAACAGAATTATATCACAGAATAAATGAAATCAGAATGAAAACATAGATAATTTAACATGGGAAAGATAGGACGCATTATCTAAGACCTGAGTGGGTCATTCTTTTATTATTATATCTAAATCTAATATATATATATATATAAATAATAAATATATAGTTATTACTTCAAGAAAATGAGTAAAGACTACTCACCTTTTATATGGTTCAGTTGTGAAATCTAGTATGTCTTTTTCAAATTGTTTTGCAGTGCTGCATAGTGTGACGTACAGTGGCTTTATAAACATTATAATATTATAGTATTTTTAGTATTTTAACACTAGATCAGATATTATCGATAGACTCAATGACAAAATAAACACGTCGAGTAAGGCAGTTTTGATTTATTAAAATTGTGTTAAATGGCAGCCATTGCTTGTTCGGTGTACAGATGTTAATGTTCGGTGTAATGTTAACTCATTTTACAGCGTGATAAAAAATGTCATCAAAATATTCTTAAATTAACATGTTAATTAAATATATACATTACCTATAAGTCTTAAATACTGATAGAGTTCTTGAATAATAATTAAACAATTTGGCAATTGTCTAATAGTGTAAAACAACTCAAATGTCTCCAAGAAGAAAATCTACAAAAATGCAATTGTTTATTAAAGGAACGAGTGTTTTATCTCTAATGAATCACCCTGTATTAATACAAATTTAAGATTTCACCAAAGCTTACAAAATCCCATATTTATGTTTGAACAAATGTACATATAAAACTTTACAGTGTATACAGTGCTAGATCACCTGGCACTATATAAAAACAACCTGGGTATGACTAATTGTAATATAAAACATTATTTATTGTGACCCGCTGTGCAATGGAATATTTCAGCGATGTTTTTACAACATTATTTTGGAACATGTAATGTTACAATTTTATGTGATATTCGCGTAATTGCGATGTGTATGGAACTGCTTATGTCCCGAGAAAGTAACACCAATTGTAATACAAATACAATGTTACATCCTGACATTAAATTCACGTTACCCGATAATGTTCCAAGCATGTTACAAAATAACATTGCATTCAAGTTATCAGAAAACGTTCCAAACATATTAAACAATAATATTTCATCCACGTTACCAGATAACATTTTTTAAATATTCCAAATTATTACTTATTATGTTATTTTTTCTTATTATTCTCATGCGCTCATTGGACTACAAAGGTTAATAGTAAACTAAATTGATATTTATTAATTTTAAAAAAACTGGAAAAAAACATCTTACCGATTTGTTCTACCCCAACACTACTACCACTTTTTTAATGTCTAACTCACCAATCGTATGTTAAAATTAGAAAATAAATGTATTATAGAGTCTTTTGTAAATCGCTTATATGAATTTAAAAGTAGTCTAAAGTTAAATGTTTAAAAAATGTTAAGATCAATTAATTATTGTATAGATTATTTGTTTATTGTATATTTGAATATTTAATTGTAATTGAACTTAAATCCGTATAAAGTAAAATAATTCTAAGGACTGTTAAACGTCCACGAACATATTTAACCCACATTACCTGTACTATTTTACTTTGTATTCTAAAAATGTTAGTAAATAACTATTATGATAAACTTTTACATTTTAATATTATTAGAAAAAAATTAATGTATGTTCTTCTCTAGTAAACTATCAGTTTTCATGTTTATACATATGAACGATTAATCTAGCTCCGAAAGTTAAAATGTATTTATCTCTTTTTGTAAATAAGTGGATTTATTATGTTTATAACCATGTACTCTTGAAATATAAATATTAGTTAAATTTTGATTGTATTCTAATAAGTATAAATCATTATAATATGCTATAAAAATAGATAGGTTAATAATTATTGTGTTATTGTATAATTGTAATAATTATTACCTATTCATATTATAATATAATTAATTAATTTACTATACTTGAGTCTTGCCTATTTATATGTAAATTAGTAGGTAACAATGTACATACTTACTTACAAATCTATTTTATTGCATAAATAATTCTAATTTTTTTCAAACTAATTTTTAAAAATTAAAATATAATTACCTGTTTAATAGCTGCATGAGGCTGGAGTGCACTACAGTTAGATGACATTATTGTAAGTGTGTAGTGAACACAGAATAAAGGTAAAAATAACAATATAAGATATAAAATAACAATATAATATTGTACTTTTGTACAGTTGCACATAACCGAATGGCGAACAGGCAAACCAGCAAAGTTATAAATATATGATTCTTGACTGATGGTTACCGCCCCATATACCATGTACCGAGTTCTCGGTGATGTTGTATTGATGTTACTTGGTAACATTTTTTTGCGATCAAAATGAAACATAGCAGAAACGTTTTGTAACTTACTTTGCACAGTGGGGATAGAAGAATAAAAATGGTTGAAACCATTTTGAAAACAATGATTTTAACGAAATGGCTTAAAAAGAAAAATGTTGACACGATGTTCAAGTTCAAAAAATATTACTCGCATTTTATTAAGACATTTTGTAGATACTAAAAATAATTTGTTAGTATTTAGTGGATGTAAAAAAAAAGTATGGTATTATTTGTTTGAGGTTAAAAATAATGACATTTTTTTTTAGGAATTGTTAATGAAACATTTTTGTTATTAATCATTCGATTACTTGCCAAAGCGCCATGAACCGTATTTATTTAATTATTAATGAAGCTTTGTTAACTAGCTGTATGTTTCTATACCATAAAAAAATTGAGTTATGTTGAGACTTCACAGAATTTGAGTAATTTCTATGCATTCAAATAAAATAAAAAATAGTGGGGACGGAGAGGTCACGGGTCTACAGATTTTATTATAACTGAAAGTGATGAATCACTTTTAAATAAAGGCTTCGATGCGAATCTGTGGATAGTATGTTCAAACCAGTTATAGCGGTTTAGAAGATATCGTGGGACCAGCAAAAATGTACTTAAACTTTAATATTTACTCTTTTGCAGGGTGGATACGATAAGGGTTGAGCGTCTGTCTATAAAGAATGTATATAACTTACATACAGTCAAAATTAACAAAACCCAATATTTTTTCTAAGGATTCTCTTAAAACAATGACAAGTTATAGAACGCAGTGGCATATTTATAGGAGTAGAGGATATGAGGGACAGATCCCTCCTCCCTTTTGGCCTTTTTAGAATAGTTAGAAAACAGACACATACTTAAAAGTAATATTATATTGAGAAAAACAGACTCTTAACTACAAAAAAAAAAAAAATATTTTTCCCCCTCCATATTTACGCCACTGAAACAACGACTGTTGTCAATATTGAATAGGCTGAACAGACTATAAAAAAATTATTCCCAAATTAAAAAGTCATCAAAGTTATCACAAAACATTACTACTAAATTATTTAATTGTATTGGTAAAAACCATAGACACAAAAATATTTTTAAAATATATATATTTTTTAAATCATTTTTTTTTAACATATTGATTACTAGAATATGGAATAAAAAAACAAATTGCGACAAAAACAGAAAATAATGCATCATTAATATTTATGACATATACTATAATAAATCTTGGAAAACATTAAATTCAATAATTATTTAGTAACAATTTCTATAAAACAAAAAAAAACATAAATTGTAATTACTTAAAAATTCATCATGGGCTGTTGTACACCAGTTATACAATAGCCACGTACCTGTGAGATTGAAGTAACCATTTTTTAGCCACTTCGGTTAGGATCAAAGTTAATCCAGCCTGGACTTACGTCGCAATAAAAACCAAGTTGGATCAAGTGATCGTTGATTAGGCCGACGTAATCATTTAATTTTGCGACATAGAAAGAGTAGATGACATTTGGGTCACCATTATATTCACTTTTTGTTTGCTGTATATTGAATATTTTGTCGTTTTGGAAAAACATATTTTGTTTTGGGAAACAATTCAATACCACATATTCTCTCAAGGATTCAGCCACATCATTTAACAATTGGTTAACGATTAAACCTCCTGGTAATATGCCAGAAAATTCTGCAGGGACTTGTCCCGACACAAAATCATATAGTGGTGACAGAATATTGTAAAACCGATTATTGTCCATATTTTTGTAGCCTTCAGGATCGATGAACATCAACGTGCTTATCAATTTTAATATAACATACCTTCCTCTTTCAATAATTTCTTCAAGTTTGACTGTACAATCACCAGCGTGTTTGTGGTTTTTTTCTTGCAATTTAGCGCATTCATCAATCGCATCAAGTGTCAATAAGAGAAACCGATTCAAATTTGGCCCATAAGCGCATCCCATCATCGAAGAGACCAATGACAACCGATCTAGCACCAAGAATTTAGTATTTTTTGACCCTATTTTGAAAATAGGCATCCATTTTCCGTTATGTTTGTAATCACTGAACCACATCTCTTGCCAATGTCGCTCATGTTGAATATGAGAAAGCATGCTGCTTTGAAGTTTTGATGGGTTTGCGCGTACTTCCGTTCTAATGTGTATGTATAACAAAACAAACAAAATTAAAAACTTTCCGAACATCATTTTTTCCAGATTTCAAACTGGAACAACTTAACTTGATCGTACAAAACGGTAGGATTAGAAATGTATTTGTGCTACGCAGTACACAACCGTTATCTGTACAAGCCAAATGACGCACTTATTACATTTCTAGAGGCAATAGTCATTTCTTATAACACCACTATTAATACTTGAAATGTCAGTCAAGTTTAGTACGCAAAAACCTGAATAAACACCTTAAAGTACATTTTTGACATATGATATTTAATATAATTTTCTAAAATTTAATTTTTTCCACTATGTAATTTTATTTCTTTAATCAAATAAAATTTGCCCACGTATTATATCGTCTACGTTGACCCAAACTCAATTTCTAAATGATCTATCGTGAAACTATACTCTATTGTGTATATTTCGACTAATAAGGTTTGTTATCTCACTAAATATAAGATTTCAGTAAGGATAACAATGCTAAAAAGAAGTACCGAACCCTAAAAATACATAACAGTGTCTTGCGGTTAGGTTAGGGTTTTGTAACGAAGTATATGTTTCTATTATTGTGGCTCGTTTATAAATCAACATACTAAGGTTAGTATAATGCAGTGGAACCAACATTAGAGACCATTTGGTTCAGATGTATAAATACCATTTGAAGGAAATGACACAACTGTTAGTCATTACCTAGGTAACATAAAAATAGATTCTTTTACAATTCTGTAAGTTATAAGGCTCTGCCTCGTACATAGCAAACAAAGTAAAATATAACAAACTAAAAAAAAGGTATACAGTATAATGTAGATGCAAAGTTTTTTAAAAAATTGTATTCAAGAAAACGATTCTAGATTTTTATTTGATTAAAGTACAATAATTACAAAGTGAAAAAAAATAAGTTTAAGAAAATTATATTAAATATCGGATGCCAATAGTATAATTATGGCTGTTTATTCAGGTATTCGTATACTAAACGAACATTTTAAGTATTAATAGTAGTGTTATAGACAATTATTATTGACTCTAGTAATGCAGTAAGTGCGTCATTTAGTTTATACAGAATACGGTTGTGTACAACGCGGTACAAATAAATTTCATTCCTGTTCAAGTAAAGTTGTTTAAGTTTGAAATCTGAAAAAAATGACATTCGGAAAGTTTTTAATTTCGTTTGTTTTGCTACACTTATACATTAGAAGTATGTGCAAACCCATCAAAACTTCAAAGCAGCATGTTTTCTCATACTCAACATGAACGACATTGGCAAGAGATGTGGTTCAGTGAGTACAAACATAAAGAAAAATAGATGCCTGTTTTCAAAATAGGGTCAAAAAATACTAAATTCTTGGTGCTAGATCGGTTGTCATTGGTCTCTTCGATGATGGGATGCGCTTATGGGCCAAATTTGAATCGGTTTCTCTTATTGACACTTGATGCGATTGACGAATGCGCTAAATTGCAAAAAAAAACCACAAACACGCTGGTGATTGTACAGTCAAACTTGAAGAAATTATTGAAAGAGGAAGGTATGTTATATTAAAATTGATAAGCACATTGATATTCATCGATCCTGAAGGCTACTAAAATATGGACAATAATCGGTTTTACAATATTCTGATACCACTATATGATTTTGTGTCGGGACAAGTCCCTGCAGAACTTTCTGGCATATTACCAGGAGGTTTAATCGTTAACCAATTGTTAAATGAAGTGGCTGAATCCTTGAGAGAATATGTGGTATTGAATTGTTTCCCAAAACAAAATATGTTTTTCCAAAACGACAAAATATTCAATATAAAGCAAACAAAAAGTGAATATAATGGTGACCCAAATGTCATCTACACTTTCTATGTCTCAAAATTACATTATTACATCGACTTAATCAACGGTCACTTGATCCAACTTGGATTTCATTAAGACGTATTGCCAGGCCGGATTATCTTTGATCCTAACCGAAGTGGCTAACAAACGGCTACTTCAATCTTATTGTAATAACACTGGTGTACAATAGCCCATGATTAACTTTTAATAATTACAAATTTTGTTTATTTTCCTTTTACAGATATAATAACCAGTACATTTTAATAAAATAATATACATGTTTTAATAATTAAAAAACAATTATTGAATTTAATGTTCTTCAAGGTTTATAAAAATATGTCATAAATATTAATATTGCATTTTTTACCGTGTTTAATTCGTAATTTGATTATATATTACATATTCTAGTAAATAAAATGTTTAAAACGGTTTTTATTACTACAATCAAATAGTTATAGGAATAATGTTCTGCGGTAACTTTGATGTCTTATTAAATTTACGAAAATGTTTGTGTAATCGGTTGAGCCGAAACAGTGTTGACAACAATATGTATTAAATATGTATTACTTGTGAATGGTTTGTTTTAAGAGAAACCTTAGAAAGAATATTGGGTTTTGTTAATTCCGACTGTATGTAAGTTATATACATTGTAAAAAATATTTTTAAAATTTTATTTTAAAGCATAGAAATTACACAAATTTTGTTGAGACTCAACATAAGTCAAATTTAAAAAAATTTTAATTCTTGATACAAAATTGATGTACAAAAATATATAAATCAATTTTTTCTAAAATCCATAAGTATGAAATATATAGGTAATATTTTACATCACAATAAATACCCAAATTGAGGTTCATAACGTGCAAGATATAAATATTATAAATTCTACTGTTCATTAAAATTCCACAGAACAAAAAAAAAAACGTCGAGAAAACCATGCTTTGTATGGCTTGCTTTCAAGTCGACGAATTTATTTTGAATCAACAATAATAAAAATATACAATAAGTATTTTAAATCTTAATACACTTGTAAAATATCTATATTTAGTTTATAACTGTTCCCAATAATATCGATTTGGATAGAACCTATTGTAATTGATCCCCTAATAGCATAGAAACAAATAGCTATACTCTAATCAAAATAAGAAGCGACTTCAGCGGCTACTTGAAAACCGGATTTTCACGTTGCTTTCAGATAGCCGCCGAGGTAATTTCTTATTTTGAACCGAGTATAGTTAAGAGGACGCTACATCCCTACAATTTTGAAGTAAAACGCGGTCAACGCCAAACTATGTAGCTGGGTTGGTGAAGGTTGTACAGTTGAAATTCGGGTATCATTAAAACAAGAAGAATTTAATCTATAATCTGTCGTCGGTTTTTTTCAATAACTAAATTTAAAATCTAAAAAATTAGCTGTTTAAAAAACCAAAAACCTAAACTTAAATTGTGAACGCAATTTTGAAGAAAAAAAAACAACGAGGGATTATAGTTTAAGTTCTCCTCTTTTTTATGAAACCCAAATTTTAGCCGTATGATCATTACGTAAAATGCTTTACAGTTTGGTGTTAAACGTGTTTAACTGTGATAGTCCAAAAAATAATTAAACCATCAAAAAAGAGTCCTAACTACTGAACTAATATTACACATCACAATTTAACCTTTAAATTAAGATGTTGTCAAAAATTGCCTATACTTAAAACTTTGAAAAAGTTTAAGAAAATGATAATAAGTATCATATGACAATAGTATAGAAATTTAGTTTTGGATAACGTTAAGGTTTATAATTGATTAAACAAAAATTACACAGTGAAAAAAAAAGTTTTAAAAAAAATATTAAATATAATATGGGAATAATTTACTGATACCTAGCTGTTTATTTAGTTGTAATTTTTCTACACAAAAACTTTAACTACAAGTTGTAAATATAATATATTTTACATATTATATTTAATATTATTTTAAACATTTTTTTTAAACAATAGATTTTTTAAAATCAAATGGAATGACGAAATAAACGCAGTAATTAACTAATTTTTAATAAAAATTTGAATAAATTATTTTTATTACATTAAATACAATAATTACTTTTTATAGCAATTGATAATATTATATTAATATGACATCATGAATGAATGATTTTTAATTAAATCTCAAGCCGTTAAGAATTTCTAAAACAACAATTGCAATAACTAAATAAAAAAAATACAACCTAGATTATTATACACCAATATACATTACCTATGATAGATTGTATTAAACTGTTTGTTAGCCGCTTCTGTTAAGATCAAAGGTAATACGGTCCGTGGTCTTGCTGTAATGAAAACCAAGTTGGATCAAGTGACCGCAGATGTAGCTGATGTAGGTGTTTAATTTGGAGATATAGAAAGTGTAGATGTCATTTGGGTCGCCATTATATTCATTTTTCGTTTCCTGTATATTGAACATTTTGAGTTTTGGCAAACATGTAAAGAACACCAATTCCCTTAAGGCATCAGCAACTCCATTTAACAACTGGTAAACGGTTAAGCCGCCTGGTATTATGCCAGAAAACTCTACGGGGACTTGTCCCATCACAAAATCATACAGCGGCACCAGAACATTGTAGAACCGATTATTGTTCATAGTTTTGTGGCTTTCAGGATCGATGAATATCAACGTGTGCATCAATTTCAATATGACATATTTACCTCGTGCAATGCTCTGTTCAAGTTTGTCCTTACAATCACCAGCGTGTTTGTGGTTTTTTTTTTGCAACTTAGCGCATTCGTCAATCGCCTCAAGTGTCAACATGAGAAACCGATTCAAATTTGGCCCATAAGCGCATCCCATCATCGGAGAGACCAATGGCAATCTATCTGATACCAAGAATTTTGAATTGGAAACCCCTATTTTGTCTTTAGGCTTCCATTCTCCTTCATGTTTGTATTCACTGAACCACGTACCTTGCCAATGGCGTTCTTGTTTAATATGATTAAACGTGTTGGTTAGAATTTTCGGCAGGTTTGCGCATACAATCGTTTCATTGTGTTGGAATGCCAAAATCAACAGAATTAAAAACTTTATGAATGCAATATCTTCCATCTTCTAGACTCGAACAACTGCACACTCGAATGAAAAGTACGACAAACGGTGTCTGTATGGAAAAACAGAATGTCTACGTATTTATGATGTAATTAACATAGCTGTATTTCTCATAAACAAACTGACGCACTTATTGTTTACCTTAAGTATAATATAACAATTGTATACATATATATATATATATATATATATATTACTTACTATCATAAGTTAAACATCAAGTTTTATAAAAAAAAAAAAAAAACTTGAATAAACAGTAATTAGTGTGTTAATTACATATGAATTTTTTTTTAACTGTGTAGTTTTAGCAAATAGTGAATTTAAGAATATTATAATATAACATGTGTACTACAAAATATATATTTCGTTGATTTAAGATATGTACTTATTGTACATTACAGTAAAGTGATGACCAATATGATACAGTAAAATGAAAAATGGTTATACTGAAGTGGTGCAACTGGATGTTCTAGTGCCCTAGTATGTACCTAAATATTATGATGCCCTCAGTCCTTGTCCCTTGGAATTTATACCAATTATTTTAAACAATAATAATTTTTTTTATAACTATACCAACGGCGGTTGCACATTTTTTCTATACATTTTGAAATCATATTTGTATATTTTATTATTTAGTCGTGCATACCACAAAACAACGCTAAAATATTCTTAAAATTATTTTCCAAGTTAGGCCAACATTTGGGTACGGTTCGGCTATTAAACATTCTTTGCACAAATTAAAAAATATTTATTCTTAGTAAATCAAATATTAATAACTCAAACTGTTCAATGATTAATTGGCAAATCTAACTTAATTTAAACCTAAATGTTGACCAATAGGGTTCGCGATAAGATTGAAGAGCCACTCTCAGATAATATATTCTCTCTAGTTGTTACTATTTTTATTATTGGCCGGATTTAATTCCCACGAACCAACGCAAGAGCGCTGTCCGTTTTGACTTGGTGGTTCTATAATGCTCATTCCAATAACTGTTAGGTGTGACTATTAGGTAAATATAATGTTATGTTATATTGAATTTGTTTTCCAATTTGTATAGGATTTTAGTGAGAATGGTGTAATCTGTAAAGTTAAACAACAAGCTGAAGTAATTTGTTTTATTAATATTATGATTGTAAATAATTTCATCTTTTACCTATTTACTATAAGAAAAAACATTTTTAACGATTAATAGTACATATGTATATAAATCGAATATAGTAAAAAAGTAGATACCAATAGATATAAAGTAGATAAAAAAGTAAAAACCAATCAGTAACATCTACTATAGTTTAAACTAAACAAGTATAAATCAATACAGTATAAATTCAGGAAAGAATGGTAAAGACAGTTCTTAAATCTGAAAGTGGTTACATCACAATTGCTCAAAACACAATCGCCTCGATGCGGATGTGAATCTTAGGACAGTAAAAAAAATATTAAATGAAAAATACTAGTTAAGGAAAATAATGAAGTATTTAACTAGACCATTGAAACCTTGCACAGTACCTAGACTACACAAAACTAAAAAAGGTGGTCAATATTTTAAAAGTGATAAAACCCAAGAGTTGAAAAGTTCAGTTATGGAATTAACAATTTATTCTGTACAAGGTTTTTTTAATTTCAGACATTTTTATAATATTGAACTACTGTAACAACTAAATTTATTAGTATTATGATGTGGTACATAGTTTCAAGCACTAGATTGTGTAGAATAAAACCGGATGGCGAATGAAACACAGTAAATAAAGCAATTTAAATATTTATTACAATTACTCAACATTACCATGCCATAACAGAATGAATTTTGTTAAAAGACTTCTAGTGATTTCTACTCATAGAAAAAAAAAAAAAATTGTAATTACTAAAAAATACAACACACGCTATTGTTAACAAAATATATTATACATTATTTATTTTTCCGCAGGATTATATTAACCGCTGGTTAGCCACTATTGCCAGGATCAAAGACAACCTGTCCCGGATTCAAGTCGGAATGAAAACCAAGTTGGATCAAGTGACTGTCAATGTAGTCGATGTAACTATTCAATTTGACGATATAAAGAGAGTAGATGCCATTTCGGTGTGTTTCGCTATTATGTTCACTCATTATTTTAGTTAAATTGAATAATTGATATTTTGGGTAACACGTATTGAGCAAATGGTGTTTTAAAGAATCAGCAAATCCATTTAACAATTCGTTAACGATTAAACCTCCTGGTATTATGCCAGAAAATTCTATGGCAACTTGGTCCATTACAAAACCATTCAGTGGCAACAGAGTATTGTAAAATCGATTATTATCCATACTCATGGTGTTTTCAAAGTCGATTAACGACAATGTGCGCATCAATTTTAATATAACAGACTTACCCTTATCGATACTTTCTTCAAGTTTGATCCTACAATCGATGGCGTATACGTCGATGTCTTTTTGCATTTTATTGCATTCGTCGAATGTGATTAACGCCAATGAAAGAAACCAATTCAAATTTCTGCCGTAAGCGCAGCCCATCATCGGAGAGACCAGTTGCAACCTTTCCGCCACCAAGAATCTACTATTTATAACCCATATTTTTTTAATAGGTTTCCAATATTCTTCGTGTTTGTAATGAGTGAACCACATCCCTCGCCAATGCTGTTCTTGTTTAATATGATTGATCATGTTGACTTGCGCTGGTGTCGGAAAGTCTGCGAATACCAACGATTCATTGTGTAAGCATGTCAAAAAAAATGGAATTAAAAATTCTATGAACCCATTTTTTTCCATCTTTTGGACTTCAACTATTTCTCTTGGGAGATCAGTACGTCAAACGTATTCCATATAAAAAAACAGAATGTCTACACATTTTCGATTTGCGCCATATATAGAAAACTGTATTATTATAACAGATGCAATTATTGTTTGTCTAGAGTAGATAACAATAAATTGTCTACATCGTGTTAAGTCATTTTGAATATTTCATAAAAGTTTTGTTGGTAGAAAATGTTAAAAATATACTATTGGTTTTAGGTTTCCAAAAAAAATACATGTTTAATTGTCTAGGAAATATCAACTGCGTTAATAACATTTGATATCTTGTCAAAACATCATCGTGTCTCAGATAATCTTCTTCTACATCTTCGCTATATTTTCCCGTCTTCTAACACCTTGTTAAGGAAACCTGACAACCACCCTACGTCAAAATTGCTAATAGTTAATACCTACCATACCTTCAATCGTACTGCATCCGGTTCAACCGCTTTCTTCTTTTTCATCTTTCTAACCGCACTCCACACTTCCTTTTCCTTAATTAAGTCCACCATACCTTAATTCCACGCTACCTGTTTCGTTTTCTTTCCCTTTGGAAATTCCTCATTCAATAGCCTTTCAAAGTACTCTTTATTACATCCACATGACACGTCAGCAATTCTGTATTCCTCTTTCATACACCACACATTCTGAAAATCCCCGGATCTCTTTATCTCGAATCTTGGTCAATTTATACACTCCCTTTCCCCTTCTTTTGTTCCCAAACTCTCATACGTCATACTTATTGAACTTTGCTTCCCTAATTACACCTATTGCTTCTTTATTAATCGTTTGTGTTCTAAGCCAATCCACTCTCCCCGTGTATTTTTTAAACTAAGTCTTAATTTTCCCTAATACTATTTCCTGTATTCCATTATACCTCCACCACGTTGGTTTAATTATTATAATAGATTACGCATAGCACGGTGTTTGAATAACCCTGTTTGTTCATTACAGACACAAATGTTACCAAGCATGCTATATGCCACAGACCGCACGCGTATGTGAAGTTAACAATATTGGGGGAGAAGGGGGGGGGGTGGATCTAACTTCACAAAGGTACGTAGACCGCACTCTGTCTCTTGTCATAACTCGTGGTAATTTTTTTTTGGTGTAGAGTCATTGTTAGGACTACAAATTTATAGTCATAACATTTATGCTGCACCAAAGTATGAACAACGAATAAACTAAACTATTTTCGGTTATTTGTTGATGTTTGTTTGATTATTAGTCTGGATTCGAAATGTGGCATTTGACGATATAATTATTATTTGACAACGGATTCTCAGAGCACGGCACGTGTGGGTACATTGCCATGCAAAATGTAGATACCAGACGGTGTTTATTTATACAACACATATGTTGTTAGAAACACAACCTTATTAAACCTTATTATCGATTACTAAGACGAAACAAGTAAAAAAAGATTTCCCCCAGAATAATATACAATAATATGGACTTGAAGGGGAAAACTGAAAGAGTAGGTTTGTTAATTCTATGTATGTCAATTAAACTTTTTTTTCAATTTTAACTTCACTTCAAAACTCATGTACATAGAATGTCCAGAACTTTTTCACAGGTCTCACAAGCATTTTCTTATTTCTTATTATATTCTAGTCTACACTTCATCTCGTACATTTAATATATATTTATTGTAAATAATTAATTTTAATATTATTCTGCACTGATTCAGTGGCCAATTATTATAAGTAAGGTTTTTTATAAGTGATTTCATTGTTATCATTTATAATAATTGTAGCTGGAAATTATTAAGGACTTGAGACCTTTCCTAAGACTATATTTATTAATTTTGTTAATTTTATTCTTACAAACTATAAATTATTCACCGTTTTTGGTTTTAAATCAAAAACCGTAACACATTAAAATACCAAAAATAAAATAACTTTTATTTTTATACACAGATCTATTAATTAAACCTCCAATAGGTATTTCTGGGCAGTACACAATTATTGTAGTGTATTTCAGAGACATGCATTGACTGGTTCAAATCGATAGTGTGGTTTATCGAGCTGTTTGGCAAATAGGTCTCTCGGAGAACAAACTAACCACAAGTTCTACAACGACTGCTGTCAATACTGATTAGGCTAATTTAAATGTTGGTGAATCGTTGCATTGAAAAATTACCGTAGTTGATAAAACTATTAGATAGTTTTAATGAAAAACATTAATGCCATTTATTTATACTAGATAATATTATATGAAACCCAACAATAAACAATTTTATAACAATGAAAATTATTATAAAATTAAGAAAGCACATTTGATTGTTATTACATTTGTTCAATCATTAAAAACATAAAATCTAAATAATTTTTTTTGTTATA